CTATGGGATTGGATAAAACGATACACGATGGTGTGAGGAACGGATGTGCGCGGAAGGAAGTGAGCGGGGAGTTTGACAGATGACAGATTGGAAAGTAAGAAGACTGGTGTGTGCGCGTGACCTAAAAGTGTTAAATGTAGAATTTAAACAAATAAATACATAAATACGAAGAATCAGACTTTCATTAGAAGCTACAAAAAAAGAATCCCGCATATCTTAATATTATAAATGCGACAATTTAGATGGATAAGAGTTTGTAACCTAAACGGCTAAACGGATCTTGACGTTTGACATAGATATAGTCTGAAAGAACACATAGCTTACTTGCTTTTGTTTTTTTTTTAAATTGCATGCATATGGAATCGCGGGAAAAAGCTAGTCATTATAAAATGCTCGCGGTTTTGTTGACGAGGAATGAAAAACAAAAACTTAGTAGACTATGTTCTACTGTACAATTGTGCCTTTTAAAGACATCCATTGATTCATTAAAGATATATTTAATACCTATCCATTTTACCTTTTTAAATAAAATATAAATAAATATTAATAACTTGCTGTTGCTCGCGACTTTGCCTGCGTGATATTAAATAGTAATAAAAAACATAGCCTTTGTTATTAAAAAAGAATTGTTGAAATTGGCCCAGTAGTTTTTGAGTTATTTTAATAACCTCTTTATAATATTATTATACAATAACCTTAATTTACCACACTAATAAAAACGATGTATTTCTTTAGTATATTCCCTATATTCTATATTCTCATCTCTTTCACATATCTATGACCTCTATATGACCTTCTTTCTATAAGTTACCTTCTATCCCCCGTATCAGGGTCGGTGGTGACGGCAGCAGTGAGACCGACGCCAGAGGAGCCCCTGCCCGTGGTGGTGACCGCACGAGGAGCTGTCAGCAGCACGTAGCGGAGTAACTGGGACTTTGCCACTGATGGGTCTCCAATTAACAGGATATTTATGTCACTGCAATGGAAACAAAAAATAAAACTGCGTTTATAGTGTTAATTTGAGAAGTATACTACTAAGTATTTCTCTTAAACTAAAATATTTCCTCTGCCTATGTATATAGCTTTACAACACACAGGCATCAGCTAATTAGCTGCTAGTGTGTCACTCAAAATAATAATAATATATGTCCCTCCTCTTTCAAACTATTATTCGCCCTATTATTTCTATATAACAAAACAGTGGAAGGGACATATATCTAGTCTAGTCTAGTCTAGTCTACTGGTCTTCTTACTTACTATTTTAGGAATGAAAAAAGAATTCTTTACTAATTTTTTTCTATGACTTACCCTCTAAGTCTTGTGCCATTAGGCAATATCTTCTCCATCCCACCAAGTAGTAGACAAAGAATAGCCTTCTTGATGTAATCATGTCCATGAATAGATGGCGCTAGAGACTTGCTTAGCATTTCAAACATATCCACATTTTTTTGTTTAGCTAAACGCTTGCATAGTTTGATGTCCTCCATAGTGATTGATAAATCTGCTTCTTTATTTATTTCCGTTACATTATTCGCTATTAAAATTGTCCTGAAATTATTATTTTTACATTCATAAGCATACTCACTAGCCTTTCGCCCACTACTTCGGTCACATAGAATTAAAATCAAAAACAAATGATAATAGCTTGTTTTCTTTAAGTATATGCTCTACTTCTATGGCAAATTTCATCATGATCTATTAAGCAGTTTAGGCTACAAACTCTAAAAAACATCTGTCCATCCAAACTTTTGAAATTATCGTACAAATGGGTTATATAATTTCTAAAGAAATCTATACCTAAACATGCTATGCAAGCTGTCATTGTAAGAGTAAAAGAAACAAATAACATGAAATGGTTGCTTATCACTTGAACAACGAAATGTGTGGCTATGGAGTTGCGGAAACTGTAGTCCCTACTACTTATACCTTGACAAAGTATACAGAAATCAATGTTGTTTATCTTACCTGAAGGTCCCCGCGGTAAAGCTACCCTGTTTAGACGGCAAACATCTATAGTTTCCCACAACCTGCACCCTGTCTCCGGGTTTGCATTTATCTACAAGATCATCATCACAGATGACATCCACACTGCGGGGCAGCTGACCTGCAGGCGCTCGCTCCGGCATCTCTTGTACTGTTAGGGTCTGATGGTCCTTGTACCGAGATAAACCATATTCTGTCTCCAATGGATTACCTTCATCATCCTAAAAATAAGTCAAAATGGATTTAAATATCAGTTATATCTAAATCTAATAGTTTATTTCACTTTGCTAACATTAACATTTTTATATTAATGAAGAAATTATGTAATTTTGGTACATATTTCTTTGGTCATGTAGTTTTGTGGTTTTACTAGCATTTTTCAGATACTTCATTTGCATTGAATTAAAAAAGGTTTAGACATTTGAGGAAACTTATTAAGATCTGTAAAGCTGTTCTGGAGATATGTTTGTACATTTATAATATTAGCAAGATTGTCTTTTGATATAATTCAATAGGAAGATATTAGTTTCTAGAAAATAAAGGAAACTATTGTTGAACGTACCTTAGTTGGATACACAGCGGTCGTAGGAAAAGCCTCAAAAGAAGTAAGATCAGTGTACTTCCTCTCCATAACCTTCTTAGTGGTAGGACAGTAGTGAACACTCCTCACCACCTTGGGTCGCACCAGGGATACCCTTGTCACAATACCCTCTACACAGATTAAGTTTCCTAAAAAGCTGTAAAAATAGGTTTATTTACTAGTGTTGCATATTTCATGCATGATTTATATAAGTGGCAACTTAGCCACTTAGGATAGAAAGTAAAGGCAATTAGATTTAGTTCTTTATATATTTACTAACCGTGAAGTTAAACTTCTTGGTGTGACATGTTTGGTACCAAAGCTACCAGAAAATGCAACAAAAAACTCTTCCATTTCCTTAGCAAATGTTGGATCAATTGATGACACATATTCTTTAAGAGCCTTTTGAAATGCTATCTGCTCCTCAAAAGCACTTTCTAACAGATTTTTGGCACGAGCTGGATTCTTTCTTCTCAAATCGTTAATGTTTACAATCAGTCGTTTTTTGCCAGCTGAAATCATTTCTTTTACTTTTTCCATATACAAGCCTTGGTCTTCCTGAAATTAAGAACCAACGTATGAAGTGCTATTGACATTCACAACACTTTATAAGTATTTTTTCTAACTTACTTCATCGTCTAAAAACTCAAGATATTCTCTCTGCAAATCTCTTAAACGTTGATCGAAATCTCCGTCTTCCATTGCTATTTATTAAATTATAAATAAAGCAAACTTAACACCACAACAATCAACAATGCGAAAAAAAGTTTTACAGCCTAAACTTTAAATTTAAACCGACTAAGTAAACCAAACAAAACATCTGAAAAGTTTGGCGCGTAAAACATCAGCATGGCACGTTGACATTGACATTATGACAAAGATTGTTCGTTTCGTTCCTTGCCAAACCAACACCAACTACGGATAATGTTGAAATATTTGATAAAATAGAATTCTAAATTAATTGATATTAATTTTATCAATACACTTAACATAATAAAATAAGCTTAGACTTCTAGAATAGTAATGTAATTAATTGTTTTTCTGCGGTTCAACCAAAGTTCAACTTAACATCTGCTGCCAGCTGTCACCATCTGTCACTGTCACCTAAACCGCAATTTTATGCCGTTGTTTGGTATGGTTATAATCAGAGTTTTCTTAAAGCTTAGCTTATATAGCAAATAGAAATAATCATTGTGACCCACCGCGTATGTAAAGTAACTCGCCACGTTAAATGGCTACATAGTAATATTATATATCGCAAGATGTCGGAGCCGAACTCTACGGTCGATTCTCCACCAACAAACGATAAACAAGACACAAATCAGAAGGATAAACCGAAACTAAAGATTCTGACTTTCCACGGTTATCGTCAGAACGGTGAGGTGTTCAGGGGGAAATTAGGTTCTTTTAGAAAGACGCTATCAAAGTACGCGCAGTTGGTTTTTTTCTCTGCTCCCCATAAAGTTGTAAACGAAGAGGATGGGGATGAAGGTAATCTCTTTATTAAATTAAATTTATAGACGTGATATATGATTTTAGTCCAATGTATGACAAAATCTCATTGTAAAGTCAATTACATGTATGAATAATGCAATTTATTTTTTAGATCGCAGATCATGGTGGTTTAATGCTGAAGATAATTCATTCAGTGGCAAATGTTTAGGTGGGCCGGCAATCGGATTTGAGGATACATTACATTTGATAGAGAGCATAGTGTCAGAATATGGACCCTTTGATGGTTTCATGGGTTTTTCACAAGGAGCTTGTCTGGTGGGCTTACTAGCTGCAATGCAACAGAAAGGATGTTAGTATACATATGACTACAAAACATTGCAATAGTAACCTTTTTATGATTTTTTTTGATACTGGCCCAATACATGGAAAGCCATAAACAATTTAATTGAAACATATCATAATATTAATTTACAAAGTTATTTAATACTTTTTCTTATTTCTAGATCTACCTTATTCATTTGATTTTGCAATATTTGTATCTGGATTCAGATCAGGAAGTTTAGTGCATAAAGGCTTTTATGATGAAGACATTAATTTACCATCACTACATGTATATGGAGAGAGTGATTCTATTATACCCAAAGGTACAGTAATTATTCTTATTAATGATATATACTAATTAATAAGAGAAAAATGTAATTTTTCGTTAACTCTGGTTTTTTTTTTCAGAAATGAGTGAATCTTTGATTAATTTATTTAATAAACCAATTGTGGCAGAACATTCCGGTGGTCACTATGTTCCATGTTCTGGTCCACTTAAGGACATTTACCTTGATTTTATACACGAAAGACATCGAGATACGAAAGATGAAGAGAAAAATGGAGATGATAAAATTGATTTTTCATAATAGCAGAAAGTTATTTTAGTGAATCATCTTCCAAAGTGTTGGATACTTAAGTTAAAATATACAATATTAAATAATTGTAAAATTATGTAGTCTCTTTTTTTTAAATGGTTATATTTTATTGTGGTTTTCAATTAGAATTAAGACTGTGGTGATTTATTTAATTTTTATTTTTATTTCCCTTTTGGCTTAAATGCCTCCTTACCAGGTACCTCAATCTGTCAAAAAAATCTTTTATTACTGTCAACTGTGGGGAGCTGTCAAAAACCTTGTTGGTCTGTGGTTTTGAATTGAGGTTATGTTTTGGTTAACGTTTTTATTTATTATTGCTGTTGTAGTATATTAATGTAAATAGGTGAATTATTTTTAATGGTTTAGAATCTTAATGTAAATATGTGGCGTCGTTATTTATTGTGGTTTGCGCACGAACATATTGACTTTCGACATGCTGTAAGTTCACAAAAGAAACTGTAAATTATTAAATGAAACTAAACAATTTATAATTGAATATTATATTTATTTCGTAGGAAATGCAAAGCATTATCTCCATGTTAAACATTCCAGTAAAATATATCGAAGAGCCATGCATCAAGAAACCATATTGGATTGTTGAATTACCAACAGAAGATCATGTTAAAAAAATAGCAAATAGATCAGTTCTTCTTAAAAGTTGTATAGAACTGTGGTCACATGCTAAAACCGAGACTGAGTTACATGAGAATTTGAATCAGAGTGTAAAAAATACTTCTGGTAATTGGTTAACCACCCAAGGCACAGATGTAAATGGTTCTAACTCACAAATTTGTCCAAGTGAGCTGATCGAGGCATGCTGTGATATTACAAAGTCATTCAAAGTAGAAGTTGAAACATTTTGTAAACATTTCACAATGAGCGAGAAGGTTCACAAAATTGAGGTAACTGTTTTCATTTGCAATGATCCCAATTAAAAAAAATATTGCTATTATTAAATTAAAATGGCTCTAAAGTTTTTGAGAGTCTTTAATTAATAACAATTGTAATATTTCCAGAAATTCAGTTATTTGCCACTAAATGGTCCTGTAAAGTTAAAAAATCCAAATATAACATTGTCATATTTTGAATTTTATGGAGTTGATCCAAACAATGTGCCTGATCAGCCTTACGATGTGTTCTTTGGAAGATGGGTATGTATCACAACTATGTATTAATTATTCTGTATTAGTAAATTCAAAATATTTGATAAATAGATTTATAGTGACACCACAAACATATCTTAAGATACTAAACATTGTAACAATTTATGTAATATTTTTCTCTATATCTTGAGTTTTTTATAATTCACTTTTCTATATTACAAGTAAAGCATTGGTACATCAATTTCTTCACTGATACATCAAATTGATGGCTCAGGAATTAAGGCGGGCATTTGACTTGTAATCTATAGGTCCTGGGTTTAAATCCCATGAACCTTAGTTTTTTGGTTTGTCATTGTCATAGTCTCTGAGCCCATCTACATGTCAGCTCACTATTGAGCTGATGATTACAATTTTTGGAATATAAAGGAGTAATTAATTATAACAGGTAACAGATGGCCAAAGAGATCTTATCCAACAACATTCATTAAAACGACGTCATTTTATTGGCAACACCAGTATGGACGCCCAGCTATCTCTGATTATGGCTAACCAGGCACAGATAACATCTGGAGATATCGTACTGGACCCCTTTGTTGGCTCTGGTTCCCTTCTTGTCGCTGCAGGACATTTCGGTGGTATGGAAACTAAGTAGTATATAAAGCACTTAACCAGTCCAAAAGTTCAGGTCATGTAGACTTAAACTGTTGACTTTAATCTATATACTTTAATCTTACTAATACTATAAATGCGAAAGTCTGGATGGATGGATGGATGTTTGTTAGTTTGTAGCTTAGGCTACGTCTGAACTACTATAAATTTTGGTATAGATGTAGAGGGTAGTCTGGAAGAACACATAGGATTCAGTTTTTATCTTAATTCAGTTATGTTATACACAAGAAATTTTATGTTAAGCACACGTCTGGGGCTCTGACATTGACTTCATGATGCTTCATGGCCGGACACGACCCACTCGAGTCGGACAAAAGGTAACAATGTATGTATTACATGGGATTTAAGGTTTCATAGTGATATATCTATAAAAATGTTGACTTTTACAATGTAATATACTAAATTTCATTTGCACACAGTACCCTGTTTAGTGACCTATGGGATCTACTATTCATTGGTCGACATTTTTACTGGTTTACTTTGTTTGTTTTATTCTCTTCAAATTTTAATCCTGAAATGGGATTTAGCTTTTAATAGGTCATAAGTGTTTCGAACGTATTTCCGCTCTGCATTAGTACATTGTAACATATTTAAAGTGAAATCATAAATAGGTCCGTGCGAAAGAAGAGAGCATCAGAGGCAACATGAAGCAGTATGGTATAGACTCCCGCTACCTCGATGTGGTTATCAGTGATTTCTCATTACCCATGTGGAGGGAAGGACTAAAGTTTGACGCTATTATAACGGATCGTAAGTTTTTTTAATTGTTACAAGAAAGACCCTACACCTGATTTATTAAATATTCTGATATCTAAATACTAATTAATAATTTGTTCCATACTGCTACCTTCAAAGAGATCAGATAAGATATAGTAAAAAGTAACCACATTAGTATTTGGTCATTTTGACCATACAAATTTAAAAATTTAATTTCCATTAAAATTGTGGCTGTAAAATAGATAAAAGAGATTAGTGATTTATGGTTCTTTGAGATTGTCTTGTTTTTTTAATCTAGCCCCATACGGTGTACGTGAACCTGCCGAAAAGATTGGTATTGAGAAGGAAAACTACACTCTCTCCGAAGAGCATCAAATCAACCACATACCTTCCAAAGTGGAGTATGGTTTGCCGCACATATACAGTGATCTGTTGAACTTTGCCGCAAGATATCTAGAGGTTGGCAGGCGGCTTGTGTGCTGGTATCCTTTAGTCAGGTAACGGATAAGCAATTTGAAAGCTTTAAAAAAAAACAATTTTCTTTGCACTTAAAGAAAGATTTTATCATCATACTTCACACTAATAATATAAATGTGAAAGTTTGGATGTTTATTAGAGATTGTAGCCTAAACGATTTGACTGATCTTAATGAAATTTGACAATGTAGAATATAATCTGGAAAAACATAGACTATTTTTATAGTTTTTAATAATTCAGTGATGAAGTCATAAAGCTCAATATGCCAGTATCTAATGTTATAAAATTGTTACCATAGAGATGAATACAAAGAGGAGGAACTTCCATGTCACCCCTGTCTGCAGTTAGTGGGCAACTCTGAGCAGGTACTGTCAAAGCTGACTGCACGAAGACTGCTCACTTATGAGAAGGTACATGATAATGTACCCAATATGCCTGTAGACCCTAACTCAGCGGCACATAATTTCAGGTTATTTTGTTATTACTTTTTTGTGTCCTTTGGAATAATTGAGTAGCAAAATTTAAAACTCTTTTAAGAAACACATGATTTATTGGAAAAATGTAATGTAAATGTAATTGTTAAGAACAAAAATACAAATATTTCTATATTTATTTTGGTAATATTGTTGATTTTTGGAAAATGTTCTTGTGACATCTCTTGTTCAATATAGAAAAATGTTTCTTTGTTAAAGTTATAATATTATTTTACAGGGAAAAATATTTTACAATCGGAGAAATATCAAGGAAGGAAAGGAAAGAGAGAAAAGCAGCCGAGATAGAAGCAAACGCCGCGGCCAGAGCGCTAGCTCATAAACATAAAAAGTGTGTAATGTAAAGGAATCACTTATTTATATAATAAACGAATTTTCAATTTTAATGATTTTTATTTTTGAATCAAAAACTCGAGTAGAATTTCATATTTTAAAATTGGTTAAAATCGTAGTGGGTATAGAAATCATAAATAAAATACACTATTTTTTTATTTTATCTGAATATACTATGAACTTAAATTTATATTAAATAAATTCAACAAAACAATCGTTACAATTAATGTAATACATTTTACCATAAATCCCTTAAATAATTCATAAATAAAAACAACAGGATACCTATCAACTCTATTATTATAAATACAAATTCATACTATTTATATTATAGCTATTGGAATTCTGAATTTTACCTGAAAAAAAGGCTAAGTATAATTTAAATTCTAACATAATTTTCAGACATATCCAATACAAAAAAGCCAGTAACACACATAGACGTTGTCAAGGGCGGCAGAGGGGAGAGTTGCCATACTCTTATAAAATAAAAATAATGTAAAATACATTATAAACTACTTTGAAATACTACTGGCTGGCGACATCTTCTGTTTCATTAAATACCTTAAATCTATTCAGCGAGGGAAAGAGACAGCATCATGTCTGTGAGGCCCAGCTTGGCGCGCGCCTGCCGCTGCTTGGCGCTGACCCGCGACTGCGCCCACTGTGACAGGCGCCACGCCTCCTTGCGCTTTGAATTGCCAGATGATTTGTACTGACCAACTAAGTTGTTCGCAACCTTGTAAACAAAAATTATTTATAGTCGAATTTAATTGAAATCTATATCTATACTAAAAGAGGAATAATTTGTATTTTTGGATGTATTGAAATAACTCAAAAACTACTGGGTCAATTTTATTCTTGTATCATTAAAAAGTTACAGAATCGCTGAGTAATAGGCTATATTTTTTACTATTTCTTTTATTACACGCAGATGAAGTCGCGAGCAACAGCTAGTGACAAATACCCTAATGATTAAGATATATGTTACTTGAGTACGAAGGAGCCAGTTGAAAATCAGCGCAGGAACGGCTTAGTCCGTCCTGCATACGCTGAGCTGGCTACCTTTTGCCACGAATGTGTTTCCTTTAGAATAAGTCTTTTTATGTAATTTCTATTTTGTGGCAATAAATACATTTTCAAATAAACCTATTTAAATAATTTTACATTTATAAGAACAGATTTAAGATTTAACCACCAAAATGTTCCAAAGAAAACATCATACTACAAAGATACGATACTACATACATACATATTATAAAGGTGAAAGTTTAGATGGATGTTTCTTACATCTTCAAAATGGCTTAACTTGATTTAGAATATAGTTTTTTACTACTGACTAATTTTGTTTTAAATTAATTAGAGTCGAAGACAAAAGCTAGTAGACGATAAATGACTGCGAGCCAGTGTAATGGGTATAAATAATAATTGAATTGTTCATACAATCACAGTTCACTAGCTTGAGTACAGTAATTGTTAAATAACCATGCAAAATAAATTCTTGTTTGGTTTAAACCCCAAATACTTACCAAGAATAATCCAAGTAGTGCGCGCAAATTGTCAGGATTCAACTTCAAAGTTTGACAGTAATATGTTTTAGCCAATTCCATGTTTTCAATACCACCCTGCAATCAGATTATTTTAATTTTATAAAATAAATTACAATTAAGTTTAGATATGA